GGGGGGGGGGGCTCTGCATCAAAATGTGCCTAGTGAGGAAGACTGAGTGCTCCCCGTCTCGCTTACCTCCCGGGCTCACTCTACACCCGCAGACCACTCACTTCCAGTGATTTCTGCCTTCCTTTTGTTCTCAAACGTCCCCACTTCTCTCTCGTGGTTCTAACCACAGAACATGGTGGGTTTTCCTGTCCATGACTGGAGACACCCGGCTGCCTCCGGCACCTTGGCCTTCCCGGCCTGCCACCCGCTCTCGGGCTCTGGATCTTCTCTCTCCGGCCTCGCCTTGCCCATCTCTAACCTCAGAAGGCCTTGGACCCAGATTCCCACCCTTGCAGCTCTAGGGCTGAAGGGGGGCGTTTCACCAGCTGCTTCCCTCCCACTTGAGTGCAGTGTCCTTGGCTTGCTCTCATCACTACATGGCGGCAGGGGGGCTCCACACCTTCCAGCCTCGCCAGTAACACTGACGTGAGGTCAACCATTCCTACATCCTTCCCGAGGCTCTGCACCAGAAGTTACACAAAACTCACTTTAGCCAGCAGGTTTAAAAAATGCAGATTTTACTACTGTCATGCCACCGATTTCATAGCTACAAGCTAATAGCTGTGACGAAGGAATTATTAAAGTGTTAAATATTTCATTTAAAAGGGAACATTGCCATCACTTTAGAAAGAAAACTCAGAACTCATCTGTTGAAAACCTTCATGTGTGAGATGGCCCCAGGAGGACCAGCCGAGGTCCCCCAGCACTCCCACCGGGCCACCTGGGTGGGGGGGTGTCCACAGCACAGGGCCAGGCCCTCCCTGGGGAGGAGCTCGGAGGGTGCCGGGAAAGTGCCCACCCTGGGTGGCCGATAAAGCAGAAAGGCCCGGTTAGGGGCCCGGCGACCTATCTCCCCGGCCACCCGCAGCCTGTCCAGCTACACCTGCGAGGAAGGTCTCCGTGCGCAGAGGGCTTAGGACAGAGAGACAGCGTCGGCCCACATTCTGAACTCAAAAGCCTATCCTGGTTGCCCGCAGGCCTGCTTGCCTTGAATTTGCTGTGAAACACAGCTTCTGGCAAAAGTGCTACTTTTATGCTTCTAGCTGCTTTGCCACTGACCTCTAAGGTCACTTTAGATGCAAATTATACAAAGAAGCTAAACTTATTTATGAGTAAATATAAAGAAGTTAGAGAGTGTTAACAGAAAAGAAGTTTCAATGATATTTCATTATGAAAAAAACATTAAGCAAAGATTTATTTCAAGAGTCATGGCTTCATTAAATAACGATTTCTTAGAGAAAAATGGATTCAAACCAAAGAAGACCTCAGAGAGGTTTCCAGGGAGGACTTGACCTCCCCGGACCTGTCGCCATGTACGAGGCTGCTCGTGCTCAGTCACAGACAAACGCTTCTGTTCACACTTTAGCAAACCAGATGAGCAAAAACCAAAACCCCCAAAACACAAAAAGAAAACTCTTTTTTAAAAGAAAACGCCCCAGTACTAAAACAACCATCTCAAGAGAAATTCAATGTATTCAACAAACAGCTCACCACTCATTTTAATTCCTTTAGCATCGCGGTCCTCTCTGCTCCCAGTGGTGGCTCTCTACCCCAGAGGGACCCCACCTGTCCTGGCCCCAGGACCAGGCAGCCAAACGGTTCCCTGGGAGGAATCCCCAGGTAGTTAACTTGTTACTAACCTAACTTTGGAAGTTCTCTAAGAGAGAAAGTGAAATCTCCAGCATCTGATGTTTTACTCTGATACACGGCAAAACCAACCCAGCCACTTGGAGTGGGTGGGGATCACGCACTCTGTCCTCGCCGCGTGGACACATGCCGCCTCTGTTAGGTAATGCAAAAATACCAAGTTGGCACAGACGATAAAACAAGCTGTGATGTAAGTGACGGCTAACTGAGCAGCTCCCTGAGGGAGCACAGAGCCGGCGGAGTTACTGACCTTGCAGAAAGATGGGATGGTGGAGAGCAGGCACAGGGAGCTCCTGGAGGGCCGAGGGCTCCTGGAAATAGGCGTCCAGCCAGGCTGCACACTCCTGCAGGGGATCAGTCGTTTCCTCTGCGCTGCCACACGGCTCAGGAGGAGCGGGAGCCGCCGTGGGGCTGCAAAAGTGATAACAGGAGATTAATAAAGCACAAGGCCCTGGTCCACACATCTGAAAAGCAAACAGAAAATGTTATTGCACTGAAGTGGGTAGAGTCTAGCTGTTTCAGGAGCACACACATCTCAGCTAGGTGTGGGACAGGCATGATGACGGCAGGAAGGCGGGCTAGAGGAGGGCGGGGGCTGAGACACCCGGGCATTATTTCACCCACGTGTCCACCTTTAGCTTTAAAAACATGGCGTCTTTGAAAACAAAGGGTGAATCCTAGGAAGGGGTGTCCCCATACACGGTGCTTCTATGTGGGGCTCTGAACATTTGCTGTCGAGCCAGAAGCAGGCTGTGACAAAGCAGCGTGCCTGCCCCTTTGCAGGGCAGACATGTATTTGCATCTATAGTCACCTGTCAAATCACCAAGTGTTCATTATCAAAAGTATTTTGCAGAAATGCTTTTACATTGTTTCATTCACCCTCCCACCACCCCTGAATTTCAACAGAACAGCACATTCCTATGTTTCCGATCACTTCCTGCTGATTCCGGGAGATTTCCTCCTAGTCTGCTCTCAGTCTGCTGGTTCTCATGCTTGACAGTGTCTAGTGTGTGTGTGGGTCCTTTCGGGTAATTTCAATTACTGTACCAGGACATCTATGCGTGGGTTTATTTGTTCCGTTTCCAAATCTTATGATGATAGTCACCCTTTTATCTCCTTAAGTTTTAGCCAACGTATTTAGACTCGCTTCAGATGGTGGTGTTTTATCCAGTTGGGTGCTAATTCCTCTGTCTGAGGGATCCCGCAGTCGCTCCCCATGGAGCCGACTTCCAGGCAGGGGCCGATTTTCTGGATATGGGCTCAGCTGGGTGGAGAAAACAAGTCTGAGTTCTTCAGATGACTTTCCTTTCCTGCCACCTAGGGCCCCAGACACATGGCATGCATCCTTGTGGCTTCCCAGGCATGGCGGGCAGTTTCTCCAGTCTCCTTTTCAGACACTACGGCTTCTGAGCCTTTTGTGGGAAGGCAGAAAAGCCAGCAAAATGCAGGTACAAGCAGCTCTTCCTGGAGCCCTCACGCCTCCCTTCCCGGAGTTCTGAGGGGAGGGGAGTAAACTTCAACCCACAGACTGTCCTCCTTCCACCTGCACCCACTGCTCCTGCGGAGTGGCCAGGTCACGTGGCTGTGCAGCCCAGCACCAGGGGTGAACAGAACTAATGCACCAATGTGACTGCCTTCAACCCATGGGGGACTTCCCTCTTGGGGTGGCAAGAGAGCAATGGGGATGCCCTCAAGACTCCCACACTGACCCACCATGGCTTGGCGCTGCCTGCAGAACCCAGATGGGGCTGGGGTGGCCATACAGGTGAGTGCCTCACAGGCTTGGCTGGTCTTCAAAGCTTGTGGGGTTCTACTGTCCCATCACCCACCCAATCGAGGTTCCTTGGGTGAGGGGTGAACACTATGGGAGACGGGCACCTTCATTCAAGGCAGGGGCTTCCATACCCACCAGCCTCCTCCTTTGCTTCAAGAGTCACCCTCCTTGCTCAGACACCCCAGTGACACAGGGTACCACTGGGCACCCCAAGGCACTGCCACACTGGTGGCCATGTCTGCTAAGGGAATTGAAATGTGAGCTGTTTCCTAGCATTTCCCACCCTTAAAAGGGTATTTGAAGAATTTTTATAGTAGTAAAATTCATCTGAAATTGATTTTTTATGCTTGTGCTAAAGATCTCAACCTCTGATTTACTCCGTGGTTCTCCTTTTTAACTCTTTCTCTATTGGCGTTAGATTACTATTCATGGGTGAAATGCAATTAAACAGCTTTGATTCTGAGGCCAGGATTTATGACACCACATTTAAAATGAATGACATTAAACACACACATAAAACCAGATTTTTAAAGGCACGACCCAAATTTCCATTTCTACAATAAAATGAAATTTATTCTCTGCCCTGCCCTCTCTTCCACCCTCGCTCGGCTCGTCCCTGAGAGAGCTGTGGTGCGACAGTCTCCGGGCATCGCCGACGGCCGCTCTTATCACAGAGGAGGTCCTTCAGCTCCATGCTGACCAGCCCTGAAACCTTAGCCTTTATGGGCTCCGTGGCCCACGTTCGTTTAAATCCCACGTCCAAGTCCTCCTAGGGGGCCAAGCGACTCATCTACCTCAGACGTGCAGACACTGTGGCCAACACCACTGTGTCCAGGGAAGCACCAAGCACCCAGCACCCGTGGGGCAGGGCACCCGGACTCTGCCATGCAAAGCAGCCTGCAAGCCAGCACTACAGATGGAGATGTGATACAACCCCACCCAGAGATCCGTGGGGACTGTGCGGAAAGGGGGCATCTGAGTCCATCTGCCTGTTCCCGAGGCCGTATCGCAACATTGGGGCTGTCGCCTCTTTCAGCTTGGGGTGGGGGGGCTGGCTCATGGCTGGGGAATGAATCCAGCTTGGTGGAGCTTCTTTACATGTGACAATGGAGAGCCCTGGGTACATAAAATCACATATGGTTTGCTTTAAGGGTTTCTTCAAGAAATACGTAACTGCTGGCCATCCCAGGGACTCCGCTGCAGGAAGTAGGGTCACAGTGTACTGCCTGAGGGGGAAGCTTCTGGAACTCGGGTGTGTCAGAGAGCCTCCTGTGAAGTTCCCCCGGAGCTGTGACCTGTGCAAGTGGCCCTGACCCCTCCCCTCCCAGGTTTCCAGAAAGAACGTTCCGGTGCCGAACTGCACATCGGGTTTGTTTTAATGTAAACCTGCCCTTCAACCCAAACCAGGGCACAGAAAGGCGGGTGAGGGGCCCCCACGGAAACCACTGAGCTGTGTCTGATGAAGCAGGCGAGGCTGATGGGACGTGTCCAAGGAGAACACACAACTTCACAGCACACAGGGTCCCAGAGACAGTGGCCTTCCCACCTGTGGGCAGCTTCCTTTTAGGGCACAGATGGGACTGTGGAGGAGGCAGATTTAACTTTAGCCGGGCCTCTGTTACTCACTTTCTGGGTGGTCGTAGGTATATTGCTTAAATTGGATATCAGTTTTTAATGGACATCCTCTAAGCCCTTCATATTTGGGCCTCAAATTAATGTCAGAACCTAAACAAGACCACAGAGGAATTTACTGTAGTATTTTTAAAACACCCATCAAAACACAAAGGAATTTTTATGTAAATTTTCAACTCCTCCCCATATAAGGTAGATGTCCATAAGAACAGTATACTTCTCTTTTTAAAATAATTCGTAAAAATACATCAGCAATAATAAAACATTTTTAAAAGACAATTTAAATAGTATACTTGGCAGACTAGAATGCCTTAAAAAAGCCTATTTACTTTCTCCCTTAAGTGTTCAAATTATTAAAAGAAAAACTGTATTTTAGCAACACTTTAGCATATCATTAAAAATCTCCACTATTTGACAGATGAAGATAAAAACACCCCAAAACTATAGATGAATTATCAAGTCCCCAATGATTGCAAAACAATTACAGGATGCAGGGCAATCTAGTTAAATTTTATTCAAAAGCTTACTACACTTGTGTTTTCTTTTATTTTTCTATCAAGAAACCCAGGAGGCTTAAGCACAATTCATTATGTATGAGACCCCACTTGCGGTGCCTGACTGTTGATTAATAGCAAAGTTTGCTGTATGTACATTTGCAACATTAGATGCATACAATATGCTAACTTATTCTTTCACTGAAACTAATTATTTACAAAAATGACTACTTGAGACTACAATTTATTAAATGCATGCATCCAGCCTCGGCTCGGCCCCCAAAGACAGCCCGGAATGAAGATCTTTTACTCGATGTGACAACTTGTAGAAACGTGGTTATTAATATTGTAAATGTGGCAAATAAAGAGTTCAAATAGCCTCATGTCCACGCTGCCACCGCTCCTCTCCACCGAGGCAGCGAACAAAGCGGCCTTTTTAACGTTTCTCTCCCTCCC